TAGTGTCATAATACATGTTATTGAGTCTAAGAGTTACAGTGTTCTAATGACTGATGCATTTGAGAAATAAGTGTTGGGTCCTTATCGGGATAATCCTTGGGATAAAACAGTTTATACAGCATGCGTTTGAAGGTTAAAATGACAAATCCTATTTCTACGGGTAAACTGTTCCAGTATGTTCCGTACTAAGTCTTTATGCATTCGTGATACTAGTTTATTAATAGTTTTTAGTGCGTTCTTTTAGGTGCTGTAGTAGATTAGTAGTTGATTCGTTCTAGGAGTAAATGGCTGGACTTATTCGTCACGTACTCTAGAAGTTACGTTTGGAATTTTTTTTGCCAATAATTTTTAATAAAATTGTATTATATGTTATCTAGGTCGAGTGAAATTCCCACTTTTTGGCTGGTTATGTTGGTGTCCGCCTCATGTGATCTGACTGCGACACACTTTTAGCATATTGGTTGCAATGATTAGTGTTTCAGATGGAATGTATCAAAATGTCGGTGTAATGAGGGAGATAGGATAGTTAGAGGGTAATGCCATTTACACCACTCATTTACTCCATGTAGAAGCTGCATCTTTCGGCATAGTATCATTCAATGAAGACTTCATGTCTCAGGATATCAGTACAGCCTATTTTCGTGTGAAGAACAGTCTTTTTTGACAAAATAATTCTCTCAATACTTGGAAATCACCTGCAAATGTTATCAGAATCGTTGGTGGGAACCTAAGTTGTCATTTAGATGTGCTTTTCACTCTATCTGTGGTTGGACAGGAATTATGGTAAGTTGAAAGGTTATCTCTAAATGGATTTCATATATATTGGCACTGGTTGGTGCAGTGTGCTATGGGTTATGTTAATTAAATTTACAAAAATATCTCAACTATAATAATATTGTGCCATTGTGTTCTAAGCTGACTGATAGGATAACAAACGAAGGTGGTTACTAGAACTGAATCTATTCAGCTTTATTATCATTAATATGAATTTATTCTCTTTTACAATTTCCACTGACTGTATACTTCATGCTACAATATTTTTGATCACCAATAGTGGAGATGAATTTCTCCTGAGATTTCCATTTAGACAAAGCAGTACAGATGCTCTATGACGATTGAATTTTCTAGTTTGCATTATATGACATTATTATCCTCATCAACACAACAGGTCTGTGTACTTTACAATAGTTGAAGTGTTTCACTATGTTGTTAGCACTGTGCATAGCTGTCTAGAGTTGAGGCATGTTCAGCTTATATTTGATGCCTATAGTCTCCTAAATGTGAAAATGTGATTTCTGTAGGATTCACAAAACCTTGTGGACTAGACATTACTGAGATTGTGGATTAACTTCTAAGTTATACACTTGCAATACTTCATTTCATGTAAAAGTGTTTAGTGTGAAGTTGATCTGCAAGTAAGCTTGATGAGAGAATGACGCCTCAATAGTATGAATGTTTCGGAGATTGCCTTGAAATTTGCATATAGTCCTCAAATGCAGGAAAACATATGATGTATATTTATGTATACGGCGTCAACATAAAAATCAGCTGTAGATTACAAATACATTTATCTGCATGAGATATTACTTAGTGTTAACAGAATAAGTGTATTCATAGTATATGCTAATATGCAGAATTATCTCTTGTAACTTCATGTTATGCTAGTTCTTACATGTACTTTATTTTTTCCAGGTATACGGAGGTTGTCGAATATGAAATCAGCGGAAACATCATTCGGTCAAACTAACTTTATTACCCTTCATCAGAATTTTCTTTTGTAAATTAATCAAATGTTTAATATACTCTTGATTACTTCTTCCTGTAGACTTCTTCAATTCCTCGCTATACAATGTGCTTTTGTAATAAGTGAATTAGGAATAATAAACGCTAAGCTTAGTTAGTGGGATGGAGATTTACTGCAGTATTATGAGAATGTTACTTTAGTCATAAATAGGATTTCGTGTCTGTTTCTACACAATAGCACATTGTAAAAGCTAAGTGGGATTTAGCAAGTTGAATAATAATTCTGTACTGTTGGATACTCTAAAGTCGCCTTATCTAACCAGTTGAAAGTCTGTTTACTGTTAAACGCCAAGTATGTAGTACAAGTAAATGTAGTAACTTAGGCTTGATATCTACTTCACTAATCCGTTAATATGCAGTGACATCATCAAATAGACTGTTCACTTGACGATCAGCTAAGAAACATTTTTTATTTATTTTAATATGCCGTTGAATCATAGGATGTTATCTAGTATCCATCATTTCTGTGATCAAAAACTGCGGTATTTGCATGTCTACTTTATAGATGTTAAATAACCTACGCCTGTATGCATGTAATTACCTCCAGTATTTCCTATTCATTTGGTGTGTGTAAACTAAACAAGTCTTTCATAAATCCTCCCATAAATGCCAAACTTTCTAGTGTTACAAGCGTTCATAAGACCTGCTTCCTTTGTTTCAAATCAAATGAGGTATATACGAACTAAGGGAAAGTTACTCTTACTTAATCTTTAACCCTCACTCAGAGCCTTTAACGATCCCAAACAGTTCTCCTATAAACACAGTAGACGTACTTTAGATGCAGCTGCAGTCTTGCTTCACAACATTTTCTCCAGTATAGACAATGGGGCTAAATTCGCTGCACCTTCCTAGAATACACATCTGCTTTCGACTCAGTACCCAGAGATATTCTGTTAGATAAGCTTGCTGAAACCCAAACTGAGTGTTGGATTGTTAGACGGCTTCATTTTTATTTATCAGGGAGAAAGCAGTACACTGTAGGTCAGGGGGAAGTCGTCCATTACCAATTGTATTTTTGTTTGATGAACTTATTGTACGAATGCATACGAGAAGAACTTTTTCAAACACGCGGACGATCTAACTACTTCAATGTCTGTTAACTGCCAGCTACACTGTACTAAGATGAACAGTTCTCTATTACGAGTCAGAAAATGCTCTTAAACTGAATCCTTCGAAATGTCAGACTGTTATTTTCAGTTTCCGATGTAAACGAAAGTTAGATGAAGGTGTTAATTCTTATGACCGTTGCAAAATTGATAATAGTGATATGGAAATGAAGTCTGACTTTAAGTATCTCGGACTGATTCATCGCAGCGTGTTGGCCCTAAATGTATGCCACATGCATGCATAATGTTTATGAGCTAGGTATGCAAATCATGGTAGACGCTTGTACGGTACATTCATTATTTATAAAACTAACTCGCACGTAATAACTGTGGTTTGATCAGTTATACAACGTTTGATACATTTAGACACAATTAACCTACGATGCTTAATTCTATGACGCGTTGACCACAGCGACGTCGCTACGTCAATTTAATTTCCGCCTAAGACAATCACCTACACCTGCAACCTTAGTGAGCTACGTAACACTATCTTTGATTTATAAAGTGTTAGAGAGAATTCATATGATTTCCTTCCTAAAAATATGTAGATACTATCTCCACAAAAGATTCACTATTCTTAATCAGTCGCAAAACATCTTCACAAGCATTACTCATATTGCGGATTAATTTCTTCCTACCCTGCTTATTCGACTGCGTACTTAAAAGTGAAACTAATGAAGTCAATGAAATCAATGTTTTGTTGGCCCTAAAGAGGGCCATTCCACGTTCTCAGTAAGGTTTCACACATCCTCCTTTCCTTCCCTTAACCGGGTATACGAAGACAATAAAAAGGCAAATGCTTTTTCTACATAACCTGCATTTACGCGCCTGTCAAGATATTTACAAAACTTATGCTTTATCTTTTGGTATTTTTCAACGTAACTGTTTTGTGTCACCCCCGGTGCAGCAGTTAGTACGGGTTGTGGATTTCTGCTGACAAACATCCACCGTCGACAATTCTTCAGAACACGATCAACTGTAATGTCAGGTAATTGTACGTCAGACTTACTTTCAAAATGTGGATAAGTGAGATGAGCAATTACCATATGACGACATGGATACCTACAGGTGGTGAACACCCGGCAAGTACAAGTGCCTCTTGCCATATCATCTACTGGATGTGTGAATCCGTCGACGAAAAATACGTTTTGAGAAATACGGTTGTCAATGCGGGCCCTTCTTACTGTTTTAAAATCTGCAACAACCTTTCTTCCAGCATACTCTGTTAATTTTGACAGTAAGGCCTGCAAACCACGTATCCTGTTGTCCACCACTCTAATCTTCACATCTCGCTCGCCATCAATTCTCCTCAGTCTCCTGTCACTCCACCGGTATACCTCCCACATACACTTGTGTAGAGTAACAGCTCTTGACAAATTCCTTTTCATCAGTCTGTGCAAACTTTCAACGCGATTGTTTGTGTTATTGCCAAGTGACAAAATATTACGGTTGAATGATGCTGCCCATAGTTTCTTCAAAGGCAGCCAGCGTCTGTGTATATACGTCGCAAAACGGGGATCCAGATGCCGTATGAGACCGAGGTATGTGTAGAATCTGTAAATAAATTTACGATCAGTTCTAAAATTTACCCATGAATTGATTCCTCGCGAATCATACGCGATACATACTGCCTAACAAGTTTAATTTTTGTCTAGAAAATCTTCGAAATTCACATTACTTACCTTCTTACGCATAGCACGTGAAACATGGAATGCACATAATATTATATTGCAAAGTGGGTGCGTTGTCTCAACGGCACCCCTCAAGGCCTTTGCACAGTCCATGACAAAAGTTTCCGTATAAGAAGTTGTACCCATGATTGATTTAAAAGTTTGCAGGATCTTCGTCACATCATCCAGCCTTTCCTGTCTACTCCATGCAAACATAACAGGTAGACCTTCTCCATGGCAGTCTGTAACAACAAACTGAAACAGTTTATAACTTCAAATATTGGTTCTAGAAAACATTTACACCTACTTTCCTCTATTAGTGTTGTAGGTGGAATCGAAACCCACGACCTCAGGGAATTTGTGGTAAATTTCAATTTGTCTACTGGAACTAAAACAAGCTAATTTCATTCTTCCATTGTTTTCATCCCGAATTACAACTAACTTCCCAACTTGACGTAATTTGGAAAACACAACTGACTGTAAATCACAATCTGAAAGGTTATTGCTGTCAATCAGTCTTACCTTCAACTACAGCAGCTCTTATATTTAGTAGATCATTGTACGTCATCCTTTTTTTAAATCGTTCTGCCACGTAATCAATAATTTTTTCAGGTTCGGATGAAATAGACATCATTGGTTTAACTATAGAGAGTTCAGACTCATCTAATTTGCGTGCTCTTGCATCCTTCATTAAATATTCATTCGTGCAACAGTGATTATGAATCATATGCACAGATGATATGATCAATTTGTTGCAATGATATCGGATGCGTATCATTGACGGGCAACCAATGTATTTAGAGGCTGAAATTATCCGTCACTTATCAAGGTCATTGGTGGAGTGAGACGCTCGAAGGTCATTTTCGTCCATATCAGTCGGCCATGTTGGATTGCAGTTCCGTAGCTGTTCGTCTACACGTTTGTTGTTCCGTTTATCCTGCCGTCATACACGACTTATCTTGTTGCGTAGTGTTCACAAATGTTGCGTTTCACCTCAATTTTTGTTTCCGTTGCTGTTAAAATGAATTATTTCTTTGGTTTTGAAAGTTTCCACTACCAGGTCAGTTCATTCATTTCGGTGTAATTGTTTCATACCTTGTATTTATGCGGCTTTCAGTGTTTTATTTGGTTTTCAGCTGTTAATGAATTGGCAATGTGTAGAATTTTTGGAAATCATGCACATGAAGATGTTTGGCTGACAGAAGCAGTTGTTTTCAGTCCATTTATTGATTGCCGTTATTCTTGTTGCCTCATTTCATTACCTAAGATGTAGAAATCGTGAAAAAGTGTCTTTCTCGTTCATGTTTACAGAATGCAACAATCTGCGAGTGAATCTGTTACAGGGAACACCATCAGAGTTGACGTTAGCAAAGTTTTCGAGGAACAAATGAAACCTGGAAAATTTAGAACCTGGTCTGAATTTGAAACAGCTTTGAAGCTTTTTCAGAAGGTGAGCATAGTATTAGTGTGTCTATTGTCAGTTAACAAACACCAGATATATTGTCCGAGAATCTAAATTAAAAAAGGATAAGCCACATGTGAAGTATGCATATGTGGTGTTAGTATGTACTTTTGGACACAAAAGGAAATCTGAAAGCAATCACCTTCGCCTTAAAGGGTAAGTTATCTGTGGTTATTAATTTCTTATGGAGTAGATCTAAATACTCTGTAACAGATTCACTCGCAGATTGTTGCATGCTGTAAACATGAACGAGAAAGACACTTTTTCACGATTTCTACATCTTAGGTAATGAAATGAGGCAACAAGAATAACGGCAATCAATAAATGGACTGAAAACAACTGCTTCTGTCAGCCAAACATCTTCATGTGCATGATTTCCAAAAATTCTACACATTGCCAATTCATTAACAGCTGAAAACCAAATAAAACACTGAAAGCCGCATAAATACAAGGTATGAAACAATTACACCGAAATGAATGAACTGACCTGGTAGTGGAAACTTTCAAAACCAAAGAAATAATTCATTTTAACAGCAACGGAAACAAAAATTGAGGTGAAACGCAACATTTGTGAACACTACGCAACAAGATAAGTCGTGTATGACGGCAGGATAAACGGAACAACAAACGTGTAGACGAACAGCTACGGAACTGCAATCCAACATGGCCGACTGATATGGACGAAAATGACCTTCGAGCGTCTCACTCCACCAATGACCTTGATAAGTGACGGATAATTTCAGCCGAGTAAATAGTTTATTAATATAATCAGTAGAGTGAAGCAGTATGTACAGAGAGCGTTTCAAGCTTGTAACCGAAGAGCAAGTTCTGACATCTAGGGCCAGGCTACTCCATATTTTGGAATACATGACTGTGAAGAAGTTTTCAAGGAGCGCTGACTTAAAGGCTTGAACTGTCACTGTGCACGTTTGGTTACGCAGATCGTAAGAACCTTCCTGTGCGAATCGTATGTCCCTGTTACCTGAGAATGATATTTTGTGAAGGACCTTAAAGAAGAATATTAGGTTTATAATAAGTCGCCTTGTCCAAAGTGGGTCAAGTTTTAGGATCATGCACCGTGAGATGTAGTCTTTCTTACAATCGTAGCCAAGTAGTTTTGAGGTAAAATATCGTAGGATACTTTCCATCCTTAGCTTATCACGTGTGCGAGTGGTGCTTATAATAAATGGACAGTATTCTAGTAGTGGTCTGACACATGTTTCGTACAGAATTAGCTTGGCTTCATTGTCGTGAAAGTTCCTGAGTATGCATCCTAAGAGCATCCTCGATTTTCTAGTCTGTGATGCTACTTGCTCAGAGAATGTCAAGTCACTAGAGTACCTCAGGCCTAAGTCAACGACACTTCGGAGTCTGGTTAGGTTAGCAGATTGAAGCGTTAATTTCAGGTCAATTGAGGGTGCACCGAAGCAGATCCAGCCACATTTGTTCAGATTAAATTGGAGATTCCATAGGGACCACCAAGCAGTCATTTTATCTAATTCCTTCTGCACTACATTCTCGAAGTTCCCTAAGTCATCACTTTGGAATGTATAAGCTACTTTTAAGTCATCTGCAAAGATGAATGGTTTCCCGTGCGTGAAGCAAGCGCATATGTCATTGATGTATAGCGTAAATAGGAGGGGTCCAATGACACTACCTTGTACTACACCAGAAGTGATAGGGCTAGGTTTGGAGGTTGCAGACCCGAGTTTAGCTATTTGGGACCTATTGTTAAGGTATGATTTAAGCCATCCTAATAATGGGTCACGTATTCCTAAGGAGTTCAGCTTCCGTATTAGTATTAAGTGGTTGACACGGCCAAATGCCTTAGAAATGTCAAAGTAGATGACAAGCACTAGTTGCCGTCTGTCACGACTTCTGGTTACAAAATTGAAGAAGTTTAGGTGACATGTTAAACATGATCTGGATTTCAGGAATCCATGTTGGTTCGAACTTATAATATTGCAGCTAAGCATATGTTTGATTAAGTTATCTTTAACTAGTCTCTCCATAATTCTAGATGCTTTAGGTGTGATATTGATCGGCCGGTAGTTACTGACTTCAGTTTTCGATCCAGATTTGTGTTTGGGCATAACAAATATTGTTTTCCATATATCAGGGTAAGTTTGTGTTTCTAGAGACATTGTGAATATTTTAAGCAGCAGTAGAGGAATGTCAAGGCCATCATATTTATAGAAATAAGATTATATACGTCAGTACTAAAACCTTTTGAGCTTGTGAGGATTCTTATAGTTTGGCGAATATTGCCATAAGTGAATTCCACAGAACTAATTTGGTTTGATGTCAGTGTAGACGGAGTTTGTGCCATTTCAGTAGCAGGATGTATATCGAGTAGCTGGACTGAGGGCTTAAGGTAGTTACCTGCAAAAGTTTTGTTGAATAGTTCACGTATGTCTGCAGAGTTAGTGCATAGCCTACCTTTGTCTATGAGGACAGAAATGCTGTGAATTTCGCAGTTCATTCACTTCCTTAAGATTTCTGTGAGTGCATACACTCTAGCAGGACTGGCTACTGCGATGCGTTCTCCGTTTCTCATACGGAAATCTCGAGCTCGTGAGATGGAGCCAAGGGTGTTAAGTATTAAACCTAGGGTGCCAAAGTCGTGGTGTTTGAAGTAACTTGTTGGGAGTCTCTTCAGTTTTGTACGATCCCCTGGTTTTATGAATGACTTTCTATGTCGGGAAACCTTTAGTGTTTGGAGTGGGATAACAGCATCTAAGCATTTGTTTGAGTTATGGTAGAAGATACTCAAAGCTCTCGAGAGGTCATCAGTAGTGAAGTATTCATCCCATTCGGAGGATCTTAGCATTGATTCTACAAAGGCCCAGTTTGCCTTATTATAGTTCCTATATGTTACTTGTTGTGAGGTGGAGGTATGAGATGCATTGCTACTCAGCGGAAGTGGCAGTGCACACATCACTGTTTTGTGGTCGCTCCCTGGAAACTCAAAACCTACTAGGGTTGAAAGGGGGCTTATATTGTGGTAGAAGATTAAGTCTAGTACGTTATTACCTCTTGTGGGAGTAGTGACAGTTTGTTTCCAGCCAAGTATATCCAGTGTGTCTAACAACTTATCAAATTTAGTTGGGCCTGTGGGTATATCCCAGTTGATTTCAGGTAAGTTAAAGTCTCCACACAGGATCTTATTATCGTATTGTAAGTCGGATAAATGCTCCAGGGTATTAATAAGTTGGGTCTCGTAATTACTAAAAGTGCTAGGTGCTCTGTAGGTGCATCCAATTAATGCTGTTACGTTATTTATGTGTACATTAACCCATAGGGTCTCAGGCATGTTAAGTGTACTACTTTCTAGCTGTGATACAGTAAGTGCATTCAGAAAGTATATAAGACAACCCCCTCCCTTACCACCTTCCCTGTCACACCGAAAGTGTGTGTAGTTATCTAAGCTTATTTCTTCATCCAGGATGTTCGAATGACACCAAGATTCAGTGATGACAATTACAGGGGGTTTGTATATTACTGTGAGTGCTCTGAGCATCGGCAATTTATTTAAAACAGATCTAGCATTTATGAGGATTAGGTAAAGATGAGAGTTGGAATAGCATTTGAAGTATTTAAGTTCGTTAGTCAGCCCCGAATATGGTTCAGCACCCAGTAGTTCTGTTTGACATCACGATCCTATGTTAAGAGGAGTTTCAGCATCATGCTCACCTATGTCTATCGAGTTGGTGTGTGCTGTTTTCGGCGAAGAATTAGGAGTTGGAGTACTGGATTTGCTATAGGCTAAGTCACTTTTATTTTTAGTTAGGTTAGAGAAGTGGGTAGGGTTCTTTATTTGACCTATACTTGTGCAAGTGTCAAGTGTGCTTAATGGATACGGGTGCACTAAACCGTTCCTGTTTTCATGCGAGGGGGGAGCCAGCACTAGTGGTTTAGGAGTTTTAACATCCCTACCAGCTGTTTTTTCAACGCTGACAGGGACACGGGGGGTAAATAATGATTGGACCCTTGTGATGACCATGGCCTATTATTCCACCTATTGTTTGATGCTAGTTGTGTCCTTGTGTGGGTTTCGTGTGTACTGCATTGTGGGTTAGCTCCCAGCAGACTTGTACCATATATCCGGGCAAAATTTGTTTGTTTTCCATACTCTGAAGGCCCTGAGTTGTTGGTAGCCGAGTTCTGGCTATTTCCACTTGTACTATTGAGGGGAAACCAGGTGAAAATGTTGGCAGAAAACGGAAGGCAATGGAGGTGCGCACCTGAAGCCCTATGTTCCTCTAGGAGTCAAAGGATATAATAATAATACTATTGAGAGTGACATGGTTACGACATTGGATATTGGTTTGTGCAATGGCGCGATTTCGCACGTTCTGAGTGCTAATACTACTGACCGTGGGAAGCGTGGGCTTATTTAAGCTGCCACTGTTTTTGTTGGCAGAGCCCACTCGATCGCATCTCAACAATAGGCTGAGCGAATTGTATATATTTAAAGGTGGAAGCATGATCTGTCTAGGCGTTCATTATTATCTTTTTCAAGATAAAGATCTAAGCCCTCACAAAAATCAGAAATATCTCGAGTTGAAACGACACTCCCCAGGTAGGTGAAGGAAGTTGCTTCATTCAGATTTCTCCAATTTATGCTGATTGTTGTTTGTTGTTTTTGGTGTTGCGAAGGAATCTTCATAATCTCTGTTTTCTCCA